GTTGTTTATCCTCGCCAAACAACACTCAAAGATTACATGGATTGATTTGCATCACTCAGGTGGCTAATAGAAAATATGAAGAAAAGAAATACATAGATAAAGAACGAAGCTAAAAGTAGAAGTATAGATAGTCAGTTTTTTCTTCTTCAGTGGAAAGCAGAGATTATCCTCACATTATCCCATAATACGGAACGAGGACATAAACATATCAGTGAATATTGACAAGAACTTTCATAATATTTTTGAAATCATGTTCAATTACGATCAAATGCTTCAGTTAAAAATATGTGGCAACCCTAAGACGCGGTAAACCTAACCAACCTTGCCGGATTCAGCTCAGGCAGATTGCATTGATTCGAATCATTGACAATTCGACTATGATTTAATCTCTGATGTTCACAGGGCTTTTTCACTAAAAATGAGTTTTTAAAAAGAAAACCTCGCTTTTTAGACTATACAATGGTATCGTTCTATTTTGAAACTCTACCTAGCCTTCATCTAAAACTTAAATGCACCGAATCTACTAACATTCTCTGTCAGACGTAAAACTATCTGCTATGTTTACACGAATCTTTTATATTAATGGATAGCGACAAACACTACACCTACACCTACAACTACAACTACAACTACAACTACAACTACAACTACAACTACAACCAAAGTCACTCTTCCACAACCAGGTAAGCTGCAGATTATGACTTCCTGATCTTGCTAAATGCTAATTTTTAATCAACTATATATTTTTTTACTTTGTATGCAATAATACTCTGCGACTATTTGAAGCTTAAATTAATTAGAATAGTGGTGTCGGTGCGTGTTTATGCATCGTTTGATACCCACACCTACGTTCAATTAAGTGCTCTATTGCCTAGACTGAAACAAATGTCATGCGAACTAAAATAAGTGATACGCCGACAGTTGAGCCTCACTTAGGTGTGTCCCAACAGTTGAGTTCCAGCATGTAAGTCAAGACAGTTGAGCTTCAATAGGCTACATAGATTTCAATATGAATCTCGCTCTCTTAAAATCATGTGATTGTGTATACAGATGAAAAATACCGAGCAATTGTTGTTGGCTGTGAGCTCTGAAAGTGAATACGAATATAGATACAGCATATTCATTCATTCACACGGTCACACTTCACCCTGACAGAATGAAACTTTTCGCCGTTCTCTTTCAAGCATAATATTCAGACGAATGCATCGCCGTAGAATAAAATGATAATTCAACATTGAAAGAATAAAAAACAGTTTTGTTAAAAGTTGAGAATAACAGCTAGTATTTCATATTTGGAAAACCAAGTTCTCATTAATTAATAATTGAAAGCCATAGGAAATTTGGAACAATGTCTGTGGCAGAAACCATAATGGGCTGGGTCAAGCAAAGTCCAGCCCACCCATGAACCAAATTTTTGTGTGACAAGAAAACCATGGGTGGGCTGAGTCGATTCGTTTCTTTTATGGGTACCCATGGACTCCGAGTTTCGGCCTATGAATGAATGAGGATGTGAGTGTGGAAATGGGCCTTTTATTGGTTCACATCCACACGCACGTTTTGGTTTATAGAAATTGTTTGATACTAATGATTATGTGAAATATATTGTGATTCAATATATGAAATTAAAGAATAATTAATGACGATAATTAAGTTTTATCACCATAATAAGCCAGACTATTTTGGACGAACATGTTCAACTAGATGAGTGATCCATGGGTGCCCTTGAGTCATCTGCCACAGGCATGGGCTGGGCCAAAGTTCGAAAACCCACGGTTCAGCTTTCTTAGACTCAGCCCAGCCCATTAGGATCTCTACTCTGTTTTTTCGGCTTCACATAATTTTTTCCATTATATTGAAATTTTGAATGTTCACTTAGTTGTCTGTGTGTTGAAAACAAATGCGAGGCTCATTTTAACAAGATTCATGTTTATTCAACCCCCAAACTTGTTGTTCCTTTCAGCACCATTACGTGGAAGTTCGACTGACATTCATCCGAGCGCCAAATGGCAACATAATGGCATTACTGTGGCTGGAGGAAATGGACCTGGCTATGGAATCAATCAACTCTATTCTGCATGGGGTTTGCATGTTGATGATGATGAAACTGTCTATGTCGCTGAAGTAGCAAACCACCGTATTATGGAATGGAAACGGGGTGCGACGGGTGGTCAAGTAGTTGCCGGTGGAAATGGACAAGGAAAATGGGTGAATCAATTGTCTAACCCCCGAGATGTGATTGTCGACAAAGAGAAAGATAGCCTCATCATTTGTGATAATACAAATAGAAGAGTGGTTCGATGGCCTCGCCGAAATGGGACAAGTGGAGAAACGATCGTTCCGATCATAGATTGTTGGAGTTTGACGATGGACGGAAATGGATCTCTCTACGTAACTGAAGTTAGAAAAGATGAAGTGAGACGATATCGAAGAGGAGAATCTCAAGGGACAGTGGTTGCAGGTGGTAATGGACGTGGAAATCGTCTCGATCAACTCTCTGATCCACAATACATATACGTCGATCGAGATTATTCAGTGTACGTGTCTGATTGGGGAAACGATCGTGTCGTGAAATGGACGGAAGGTGCAAAACAAGGCATTCTTGTGGCTGGTGGTCAAGGACAAGGAAATTGTCTTACGCAATTGTCGTATCCGCAAGGAGTCGTTGTCGATCAATTGGGTACTGTCTATGTCGCTGATGAAGGAAATGATCGAATCATGCGTTGGCCCAAAGACGCCACACAGGGCAATGTCATTATTGGTGGTAATGGTAGAGGAGGACAGTCAAATCAACTCAATCGTCCGCATGGTTTATCATTCGATCGGCACGGTAATCTCTATGTCGCTGATGTGGGAAATAGTCGAGTACAAAAATTCAATATGGATTCAAATGCATAAAACTGTACTTCCTTAAAAGAAGGTTTAACTAATATATTTTTCCTTTTCATAACTAAAGTGCGTATTGAAATTGCTTGAGATTCTTTAAAACATAATAAAAAGTACTCAATATATGTAACTAACTAATCTATAGGAAATCATAGGAAACTTTGGAAAGCATAAAATAAAGAAAAAGAATAGAGACCAGGTGTATGGCTGAGTGCCATGGGAAAAGGAAAGCTTGGGTGTGGACATCAGTTAAATCATGACCCACACCCACATCTGACTCTCTGCATCTGGCAAGTATTACGTCTCAAGGACAACGATTTTGATTCCATTGTTTTCCTCCATTAGTAGGTCGCACAACAGAAATCCCATCAAGTGCAGTTTATGGCTTCTTTCTCTATTCGCAAAATTTTTACTGCGACCTAAGAATAAGAGATCGAGAGAGAAATTAATAGTGAGTAAGAGGTGCGAAAACATGCAGAAAGAAAAAGCCTTGTAGGTGATTGGTCTCCAACAAACATTCAAGTCAGTTTCAATTTTGTCTTCGACGACGACACAGTCAAACTAGGTGAGTCTTTCAAGCAACAGAACACAGTTTAGCTATATACTCTGATAGATTTTTTCACTCTCTCAACAGCAGAGCATACAGAAATAAGTGAAATGTCATTCCATGCCTTGTAACCTATGTCTTGAATTGAAACTGGACTTTCAAAGAGTCCCACATGTGATTTGGGTGTGGGTGTGGGTGTGGGTGTGGTTGGGTGTGGATGTGTGGGTGTGGCTGGGCGTGGGTGCGTGAATGTGGATGTGGATGTGGGTGTGAGTATTAATCTTCGCAACATCAACACCCACACCCCACCCCACCCGCCACCCACACCAACACCCTCAACTTCGTATACTTTGAATATTTTATGTTATTTTGTCTCCATGATCATGTTTTTCAGTTATTTTTTGACAATCAATCATATCTATGAACAAGAAGAAAAACTCAGTTGACTGGATAAAGCAGTTCTAAAACAATACATATGGCCAGAATCATTTCCTAACTGTACACCGACTCTACGTACATAACTGGTATGTCAAAAGTTGATTTCGTAGAAGATATATAAATTAATGCGGCATTATTTTGGTTCACAGAATGATAATACTTTTTTGTCTTCGATCGATCGTGCATAACATAGCAAAACTGAAAGAACGGCAATATTTAAAGTTTTAGGCATTTTGTTGGTTTAGCTAGAAAACATTTTATTTCGTACCAAACATACATCTGGCATGATTAATAGGCATTACCTACAGTCACGAAACCAATCAAATGACAATAGAATAAAACGTTTGGTAGGTTGTAAATTATAGCAATCCATAGGTACTTTGTTTGTTGCATATAGTGATTCATGCTCACAATGCAGTTAAAAAGTTTTTATAAGTTATTTATTTACTTATTAGGTAAGTGAATAAGAAGAAATACTTGTCGCAGCACCCTAAAATATGCATATTCCCATCCATCTATTCTTTGGATCTAATTATTTTTTCTTTCTTGTGTATTGTATATTCGAACATAAGCGAAAATATACTTTATATTTGATACATCGATTTTCGTTAAAGTTAAACTTGTTGTCGAAGCAAAATTTATATTGTTAAATTAAAAAAGGTATCAAATAATCAAAAGAAAAGATATATCTTTTCATAGTGTCTCAATTCATGACATTCGTACTGAAGAAACTTTATTTTTATTTGGTCCTTATCAGTTACTACCACAGAAATCATTCATGCCTGGAGAATTGACGACGCATTTGTCACAATCTGTAACGAAATATATATCGCCATTTATTCCTTCTTTGCAGAAGAAGAGTTTATTGAATAGATCTTGATTAGGTTGATCAACAATAGCTGTCTTCATCTTTTCAACATACGGACCTATAGCCTTTAACTTTGAACCACAATAATAAAGTCCTGCTTGACAGTTTTCACCATTAATGATCAATATTTTCAATAGAATGATCAATAAAATACTGATAATTGCTTTTTTCATTGTTTCTATGCTTGAATACTGACAAATAATTTAATAGATCAATGAATAATCAATATCGATAAGAAACAGAGTAATCTTTGAATGTTCTAAAATTAAACAACAGACAAAATTTTAAAGTATTTTTAAAAACATACTGATCAAGTTTTTAACTTAGACTTCTTGACAACACCTGAGTATTTCAAATGGCAATTAACTCAAGCATGATGATGAAAGTCAAACCGAAAGATAAAATAAAATAGAATGTGTGCCTGGGGATTCGGTAGGAGAA